CTTCGGTAATTGTATTTTCTTCAGTAATTGTACCATCCTTGTTAGTTGAATCGACTATGGTAGCTACATCATCTTTGGAAGTTCTACCATCTTTGGTAGTTTTATCACTCTCAGTAGCTGTGCTATCTTCGGTATTTGTACCATCCTCGTTAGCTGAATTGGCTATGCTAGCTACATCATCTTTGGAAGTTCTACCATCTTTGGTAGTTGTATCAACTACGGTAGTTATATCACCCTCAGAAGCTGTGCCATCTTCGGTAGTTGTATCACCATCCGTAGCTGTGCTATCTTTAGTAGCTTTATCGTTTTCGGTAGTTGTATCGTCCTTGACAGTTGCATCCGCTAAGGTAGTTGTATCATTTAATGATGGTGCCGTGATCGAACTTTGATTATTACACAAATCCACAGAGCAACACGTTAAATTCATATAATCCAACTTGTTGGTCATTAGCTTTTGGCATGTCGAGTTCACTATAAGTCCCCAGTACCACTTCAACGCTTGTGTTGATATCTCCTCTAGTGTACATGCCAAATTGTTACTCTTACAGATAAATGCATAATTCATGCAAACGCATTGACCGTTCGTACAGTTGTCTGTAATGTTCGAGTTTATTGTTGTTGTTGGCGTAATTGTGGAATCTGATACTCCTTTATAGCAAGTAATGCAGAAAATGCATGGAAATGTGCACAGCAATAATACGAGAGAGACAAACAACTTCATATTTTCAAGTGTCATGATATGGCTAAGTATGAAGGCAACCGTTCATTTGTGCTCCGTATTATTGACAGCAGTTATCAATGTCTTACATTCATTCACCTGTGTATCAATATGCCTAATGTATTGAATTACAATTATAAAATATGCATATCTCGCGAGACTATCTTACGAATGCATCTATTATAGGACGATACACCTTGATCGAATCTTTTGCATGACAGCAGAAAAAACGACGACGACTTTCTATTACGCTTTCTATTGAAGATATCCAAGGTTTGTTTCTATAATGTGTGCGTCCTTCCCGTTCTTTTTTTTTCGAAAGGCACGTGAGGATTGGGAAGAAAAAGGATTGTGAAAAGTATAAGCGCTGAATGTAGTAGTTGCTCGTATGTTTCATGGCCGATGATTCGGTGAAGGGCGTCAGTGTGAAAAAAACTAATTG